TTGAGTCCAGACTGTATCTAGTGAATAATCATTTATCTTTATCAAAATATCCACTTCCTGGATCTACCAATGTTCTCCGGCCTTTCCTCATTTTGAAAATGCATAGGAGAAGCAACTCTTCATTTTAAAAGGAACTTACATTAATTTGTAGATATTAGAGCTTGAGATTTTGTTGAAGTAAATTATGTCTGAACACAGCGTTTGAAAGATATCCAAATAGAAGCTGGCTTTTTCTACAATCATTGTGTCAGACTTTGCTACTGAAATAAAAAAGGCATATATTTTAAGACTTTTTACACAACTTCACCCGGGGCAACAATAACTGTGGAGGACACTGCCCTTATCTCTCGGCTCCTCTCCGTTTTCCTCCATTCCAGCCTGATTTGCCGTAAATAACATGTTTCCAGGTCCGTGTGTGAAGCGCCCTCGCCGTGTCTGTGCCGTCCTTTGCGATATAATCCAGGGCACAGAGGAATGGAAGGGGGCAGAGGGCAGATTTATTCAGGAAGTGGGTACTTTCTGGTGCATTCATTGCAACACCGGAGCACACACGCAGACACCTCACAGCACTGACCCGTGCCACATCTGGAAACAATTACACCCATGTTTTGACTTGACCCGGGTGCACCCAGGTTAAACTTTTTTCATGCGCTTGTTGCTGGGGAGCGGAGGGGGGAGGCAGAGGTGACCCTGACACGGTGGCTGTGGGGAAATGATGTGTAATTAGTCCGACGAAACAGAACCCAGCCTGTCTGAAATAAAACACGAAGAATGCCCGGCAGTTCGTACGAGAGCAGACGAGGGAGCGGGAGTTGATGCGCCGCTCGACGACCCACGGAGGAATCTGTGAGGACACGAAGAGCATCTGAATTATCAGGCATCTCAGCGCGGTGCGGCGGCGCTTTCATGTGCGGACGGCTGCGGATGATGCAATGTTTGATTTCCACACTTCAGGAGGCTGTCAGGACAGCGCATGCAATATTAAACAGTGTCGTGTCAGTGTATCAACCAGACTAAATTAACCCATTAGTATGCTACGGTGCAAAGCGGGAAGATCAATGCATGAAACGGTTTGGAAATCTCCTTTGATACAAGATTTCCCAGCTTGAGCGAATTGATGAAATTCCTCTTGAAACACAGGCAACCATTTCACACACCAGACCCCCACCCGCCCCACCAGAAGACAGAGACTGATGGAGCTTGTCCATTAACAAAGTGAGTTGCTGCCTCTTACATAAAGGCTTGAGGAGAATTGATCATAAGCAGCCAGAAATCTACCTGAATGTTTACCTTCTCCCCGTGAAACAACAGTCAGTCTGCGCTCAAATTCCTCCTTTATATCATAAATAATGGGCACTTTTCATGAAGGCCAAGCAAATAGAAACGCTTTCAGTCGTAATTGCCAGCACCAGAGAAGTAACAGACTTTATTGTCGTTATTAAATGGTGGAGAAACATTAGTGAGAGGCTCTGAACAAGGACACTGCTCTCATGAGTAAAAGCCGTTCCGTCATTTCCACTATTTTCTCCCAAAAACAACTGTGAGACAAATTTAGCCGCGACTGAACCGGCTTAGGGGGGTTAAAGATTGAACTTTAACCGCTGCGTTTCTTATTGATCTGAGCAAACATTGCAGGGTGAGAAGGTGGCCTTGAATGCAGCAGAATGTCTCCAGTTAAGGGGAAAAGTCAGACTGTTAAAATCCCAGGAATACTCGGTTAGCGAGGCTGACTGACTCAACAGGCTGAAAAAGCTGCAGGGCTGATATCTCGTCTGCTGCCACTCCCCTCTCCCAGAACTACCTTGTTGTCTCAGGGCCCGGCTTCAGCACTCATTTCCTGAGCTCACCGTCTACTCCAATTATCAAGCCAATAAAGGACCCCCTTGTGCAGTTATGGGAAAGGGGAAGGGAGTCAGGTCCAGGACAAGGGGGTCCCACAGCGGTAAGTGTGTGCGATGGATGCTGCCCGCATATTGGAAGGTGTGACTAATGGTCTTGGACAATGTTGAGACAGCAGTGCTTCGGCAGTCACCTGGGCAGGCCTGGCAGTTACTGGAGGAGTGAATCTCCTGGCCGGAGCCGTCAGCTGCACAGAACTGCAGTTTGACATCTATAGGATCTGAACTCTTCAAATGTAGCGTAACAGAGGTACTTTTTTTGTTGGCTATAAAAAAAAATTAATTAATTTAAAAAGCAATCTACAAACTTCTTCTCTTTACTGTGCATTGCACAGAAGTGCATAGGTGACATTCACACAGTAGGTAAATGCAACCCGTGTCCAACGTTTTCACCACAGTCTTTCAATCTTTTCACCCCAAAACATACAATCTGTGCCACTAATGAAGAACTGCATCTAATGCTGTCTGAACGGTCATGCCGCATTTAATCTGACGTGCGTCAGAATTGTGCACCAGAAAAAGCAGGAAGCAGTAAATCTGGACATATACAATGGCTGAAAATGATAAACTTGTGACAGAAGTCTGTGTCAGTGAATCACATCACATCATAATCCTGCCGCTCCTGGTCCAACTACCCATCCAAACAGACCTCTATACAGAAATTGCAGTCAATGCTTCACAAAAGGCCATTACTATTTAATTGTGCTTTATGTAGTTAGCTTCCTTTGTGTTATGATGGTGACAGTGGTAGGCGTTCGCACCGCAATCGGTGGGTTGCTGGTTTGAACGCCACTCCACACTCCTCTGTTGTTGTGTCCTTGGGTAAGACACCCACTTCGCCTGCCGGTGGTGATCAGCGGGCAGTAGTTGACCATCAGTGTGTGTGCGTGTGTGCGAGTGTGAATATGTGAATGACTGTAGTGTGAAGGGTCCTCTGGACTTGATAAGTTGCTATGCAAGTACTCTACCATTTACCATGATCTGGAGGTACTACGGTCGGCTAACGCTACTGAATAAACTAACATCATTATTAATTCTGTAAACAGAGCGCTGCTGTGTGGCATCTACATTCTTCTGTGCAGGCACGGGCTGGTAAACTCTTCACAGAAGTCTCACTGCACTCGGGTTTAGTTAGTTATAAGAAACCCCCCCCAAAAAAAAAAAAAAAAAAAAAAAAATTAAAAATTGGAATTGACCTGTTGTGTGAATATAGACTTAGATTCAGTTTCTATTTATCTTCTGCAATAAACAAATACATAAATATCACTTTGTCTGGTAGACATATTTCTACATGTCAAAAAAAAATATAGTGCATGTAGTGTACTATAAGAGAAACCAGATTCAACACTCATGATATCCATCCTGCCAATTAGGTACAATGGAGACACTAACTGAAAGCACCGTGTTCAAAATCACAACTGTGAGAATTTTGATCAGTGAAGACATTCATTCTGTCAAACAGGTGGCCATTATTTAAAGACATCATGCTGGATTGTAGTGCAACCTGAGTTTTACGGACCATTCCAGGCATTGTTCAGGAGAAGAACTGAAATTATCTAAAATGGAAACTGCAGACAGAAAAGCAGGGAAAAACACAGAAAACTGAGATTTTAATGAATGGAAGAACAATTAGAATAGAAAGTCTGAGCAGCCAATGGCCAGCAGACGATCAGAGAAGGTTTAAGCTGCAGTTATACCTCCAAACAGCAGCTCTCTTGAGATAATTTGACTGTGAAGAACGCCCTGTTGACTTGTATACCACCACTTCAGAGGCTGCAGTTTTTACTTTAAACAGTAGATGAAGCTGCATCTGTTGAATAAATGTGTCTGTATGCAACAACTGGAAGCAAAAAAAAACAACAAAACAAAACAAAAAAACACAAATACGCCATAGAAGAAGTCCAATCCCAGCATAAGTCTTAACTACAAAGTTTGACTGCAGAAGTGTAACTTTTTTGCTGTTTCTACAAGTCTATCAAATATGAATAAAACACACAGTGGCAGATTTTCAGACCTTTCCAGATAGCATAAGATCGGTTTTTCTTGTCAGTCAAAGTTAAAGAAATCTGGGCCATTTTATAGGTCAGGAAATGTATTTGTGCCCCCTTAATTAGAAGACACCTATGTGAAGACGAGCACTATGCTGTCGAGACATTTTCATTCATCCCATTATTGTACCATTATTTCAGTCGTTATTATTGAAGAAACAGCATGAGTTAAATAGATGACAATTTGGTAATAAAACACATTGACAAGCCTAGAGAGGAACTGAGAAACAAGTTATAGACTGATAAAAGCAAAATTCTACTTTCTGGGTTTCAGATGATGACAAACATTGAATTTAAACCATAATACTCTGTTTAGCACGGAGACCAAGACCTCCGTGCTAAACACGTGCTAAGCTTTTGGGAGAAGTCAGAAAAATCCCATAGAAAATTTATGGGGTGACATCAAACATGCCGATTCTGAAGCAACACCAAGCAATGTAAATAAACTGAAGAAGGTAATTTCTTTCATGCCGGGCTGGAATGCCTGTTGAAAGGTACCAGAACTTGTTTGACTCCATGTAACAAATATGCAAAGCAGTTCTCTGAAGCAGTGGACGTAAAGGTAAATAACCGTTTAGTGATTCACAGGAAAGAGAAGAAAAGTTGTCTGGTGGCCCTGCTAATGGTGTTTCACCCATTTTCACATTTAAATTTCAACAAACGGATACCGCAGTCAGGTGCTTTTAACCACCGTGGAGTTGTGATTCATTTTCACATTGACTGGAGATCCACTGGGTTGATAGGAAATCTGTGACTGCATCAGTACACAGGTGGATCTGTCAAACTGGGTTCTTTGACGATTTTTCTGGGCTTTAAGTTTGGATCTGTTCCAAGTTCTTATTTTAGAGAGTTTTTACTTCAATCTCTAGAAGTTTTCTCAGGCTCATCAATCTATTGTTTGCAATCTGACTCCTCTCTGAAGACAGACAGTCTGCTGTATAGATGTATATTACAGCATATTACATTTTGCGGACCTCTAACATGGATGTCATTTGGAACAATGTTTGAAAGTTTCGAGGTGAAAAGGAAAACAGTGAATCTGGAGGTGACTCACCTGTGCTGCTCCACAGCTTCGTTATCTGGCAGCTCTGCGCCGCAAACGTTGCATCGCTCATGCTGGTTCCTGCCGTCCGGTTTCATGCCCACTGCCAGCTCCCCCAGCTTGCTGAAGAACTCTCTCTGGATGAAGCTTTGCGGCAGGAGGCCCCCGTAGGTGCTGAAGTCCATGGACATAGCCAGGGCTGGAGACATGGGGAGAGCGGAGGCCATGGACACCGGCATGGACATCATGGCGTCTGTTTTGTGGTTAACGGGTAAGGAGTACAGTGAGGCCAAGTGTTTCTCCGTCATCCCCGCCATCGCCTCCAGCCCCATCTGACTGACTTCGGCCTGGTGGTCGCCCATGCCGTCGTCGCGGACGTAGTGCAGTTCGCGGGCGCTGGTGATCACGCTGCTCCTAGTCGGGGTTCCGGGGCCGTCTCGGTTCCTGTCTTCGCCGCTTCGCTCTCCGTTGCTGGAGGCGCTGGACTCCATGTTCTTAGGGCTCTCGTGGCCATTTCCACCCATGTCCACCTGCATGTTTTCAGTCTTGATCTCAGACATCAGGTGGTGGGAGTTAGCATGGATGAGCTGCTCTCCGGCGAAGCCCTGCTGCAGCAGAGACTGGCCGATGCTCATCAGGCTGTCGACAGCGGCTTTGGTGGGACTCAGGTTGGAGACGTTGAAGGAAGTGGAGACGGAGGGACTCTGGTCGACTACGCCGGACATGTTGGGAGCCTGTTGGGTACCTGACAGGTAGGAGCTCTCCATGGAATGTTTTTTGGAGATTTTGGCTCCATTCTGGCCTTTGCGCTCCTCGTCCTCCTCTGTGCTGCCATCATTAGCGCTGACCTCCACGTCGTTCTCGTCCGAGGACTGGATGGTCTCCAGAATCTTTAGGCATTGTTCTTCTAAATACTCGATCTCCAGGATCTCAGCTGCATACAGAAGATCATCCAAGTCCTCCACCTTGGCCTGGAGCGTGGCAGTGTAAGCATACTCCAAAATCTGCTGAAAAGTCTTTGGTGAAAGAAAGTCCAGGGTGTAATGCTGGCTGCTGCGGTGGAAGAGGATTTCAAACATTTTGCTGGTGCAGGCTAGCACAGTCCGGTGAGCATGAAACTCTTGGCTGTCCACCATGATGATCACATCACAAAGAGTCCCGGCCAGGCGCATCTGGTTGGCCTTCTGCAGCAGGGCGGTGGGATGGTTGGGGTTCTGGAGCTGAATCACACCCATTTTACTTAAATCCATTTTGTCGATGCAATACTCGAGGCCGACTCATGAGGCTCGCCTTCCCCCGTTCAGGAGAGCTTTTGACCGTCTTTGTAAACAAGTTGAAACCTGCACAGAAAAAAATAAAATAAAATCAATACATGGGTGTGAAAAAGAACTTACAAATTTTAGTTTTTGCTCTTTTGACACGCATTACAGAATAAAGACACTTTGAAAAAAAAACAAAAAAAAACATAAAAAGCCATTTTAAAAGCCCATAAACACACTTTTGGAAAACTGAGATCAATTTCACAAGCCAAACCCAGGCCTAATTACTTCTAGGTCTACAGAGTCAACCACTTAAATAAAACTTGTCTGACAAAAAAAAAAAAATGAAAGCATCACACGCCAAACTACAAAAATTCAAGGACAGATGAAAAATAAAATGGTGGCTTTAACCAGTTCTACCCCAGTCAGCCCCGCACAGATTCGTCCTCATTTGCAGATCCTGCGTAGTTCCTCACAGTTTTTGTGGAAACACCTCAGGACTAGTGTAAGTCGGGCCAAGCCTTATATTGGAAGCGATTTGATTGGCAGCAGATTGCATTTGTTGGTTGGATTTACGTCACTGGATGAGCGAAGGTGGTACTTGCGCAAGGCCACATGCAACATCAACTGGACAGGGCAAGCCACAGTGAACCAATATACCTGCTGCCCAACGGTACACATGCAAACTGACATCATCAACCACGGCTCCTGTGTGCTCATGCTCCCACATTCCTGCCTATATTCACGCCCACATAGTGAGGAACACACTTCCAATGAAAACACACCCAACTTGCCTAGAACTGAACCAGACAATAACTAGTCAGAGTGACACTTGACAATGGAGAAGGAGCTGAAGACATTCTGAAGAGAATCTCAGTGAAAACTATTATAAACAAACGGAGAACACATGGAAGACCAGAGAACCATCTCAAGAGTGTCTGGGCTAACAAATGTATCCCGACAAAATGATTACGTTTTTTTGTGACTCATACAGAGGAGGTCACAAAAAAAAACAATCATAAAAACATTTAAAGTACTTCAGGTCTCACTCCCTCAGTTAAGGTCAGAGGTCATATTTCAATAATAGGGAGAGAGAGAGAGAGAGAGAGACAGAGAGACAGAGAGAGAGAGAAATAATGAGAGAGAGAGACAGAGAGAGAGAGACAGAGAGAGAGAGACAGAGAGAGAGAGACAGAGAGAGAGAGACAGAGAGAGAGAGTGGGCCTCCTGGAGGAGCTGCAAAGCCAGAACCACAGGTGACTCAAAAAACACAAAGGCCTGTTTCATTTTTACCAACAAATGTCTTCAGCTTTTGAGCAAATATTCTGTGGAGACTGTCAAACACAGCAGCGGTGGTGTGCTGGTCTGAGCCTGCTTTGCTGCTTCAGCCTCAGAACGACTTGCCGTAATTGATAAAACATGAATTCTGTTCCAGAGCAAGAAATCCTGAAGGAGACGATGTGGCCATCAGCGAAAGCCTAGAGCTCCAGCTCTATGCAGCAAGACTGCAATCTGAAAAGAGTCGCTTTCATTGTGGGATGACACAACCAGTTGCTATGTTTATGGTGCGAACGCTTTATCGGACTGTTCTGGGTTTGTTTGGATGGTTTTATTTTCCGTAATAAAATAGAAGCGTTGTTTTCTACTCGCTTTGTTTGATGTTAAGGTTTATTTGATGATCAGAAAAAGAAGAAATCTATGAGAGGAGAAATAGCTCGAAATTCAACAAGTGGAATGCTCTCTTCCACATTAGAAAGGTCATTTTAAACATTTAACGTGACAGTGCATGTATTCACAACACACCTCAATTTATTATGCAAATGGAAAAGTGTGAGGCCACCGGCGTCTCGGATTGCAAATATCCTGCAGGGATGGTAAACAATCTGTGCAGCGGCATTGTTCTGAGAATGTGCATGGGGTATTGACAGTATTTTCTAAAAGGAGACAATTTGCTGGCTGTCCAACAGGCTCCCCCTGCATACCAATCAGTCCGACATATGTTATGCTAAAAAGATGTCTTCATTTGCTTATCTGATGGGGATGTACACCAGTTAAACAAGAGTGAATTGTGGGCTTTCACTCCGCCGCTTGGCTCACAGCGACAGTCGACAGCCTTTCTGAAATTAAATAGCATCTTACTCAGTATTCTCATCACAGACGGGAGCAGAGAGCAGCGGCCAGGAATGGGTGGAAAAGAAAGCAGGATGAGGCGAAGGCACACAACGCTGCTGCACTTAACGCCCCTCTCCTCTCCTCTGCTCTCCTCTCCGCTCTCAGGCGCTTAAAATCTCAAATGAATGAACATGTCTGTTGACTGTCGGTAATTTCATTATCCAAGTTAACAGGGCAACATGTTGCTCCACCTTATTTCTAAAGCATGTTTGACCCGCGCTAAATAATGAGGACAGGTCCAGATTCAATTAGCAGCCCCGAGGCTACGTTGCACTTTAAAAATTGGACATCTCTGCATTCAGATTCGCCCGACGTGAAGTTACAGCACGCCGCTTCTCGGGTCCAATTAAATAAACACTGTTGCAACAACAGACGATGCATGAATGAAAGAAAACGAGGAGAAGCTACCAGCTACCACTTCCACTGACCTAGTTTCTGGCTGAGTTCATAGAAGGCGAGTCTTATGAGAAAGGACAGCTCTGACTGAAAAATAAAAAGACTTAAACGCAATCAATCGGCCGAAGAGCAGAACCGTGGTCTGAGGGTCAATTACTGAAAAAGTCTGATTTTTCTTTTCCTTACTCATTAAATGCAACAAAACTAAAGAAATCCCACAATGTAAATCCATCAAAAACCACATTTATAAAAGATCTGCCGATCTGATTTTTCTCTGCCCAACACTGGTTTACAAAATTTTCTTCAGGATCCAGCCCACCAGATTTGACTGATTATGGTGTTAAAACATAAAGCAAAAATATGCTGCATGATGTTTGAATTAAAATATTTTTTTTCATGAGTCAAACTTTCCTCTGATTACTCAAAAACATAACATATATCCAGATTTAAGCTGTTTGCTGATAATTACCACACTAAAAATTTTTGGGGAATTTTTTGTTTTACTGGCATTTAATCAGATTTTGGTTTCTGAACAAGTAGTTTGTTGTCCATTGCTAACTTTGATGGACTTTTTAAAATTTATATTTTTCAGATCACGTCAAGATTAGACATAATTTGATGATAAAATAAGGCGATGCCTTATTTATTTTTTAATTGGATTCTAAACTACTGCCTGTACCTGGAGTACAAGTGTCCGTTTAATGTGTTATTTTTTTAAGGGAAGAAAACAGTCTTGGCCAGGACAACATCAGATCAGTAAGACTTTTTTTTTTAATTGATCGTTCTCCTCAATCATAAATCAGTAAAGAAGAGAATAAGTCTGATTAGTCCATCTCGCCTTTTAAAAACTTCTTAATTTCAAACTCTTCCATTCTGCTTATCAAAACATTTTATAAAAATAGCTAAAGAACCTAAAAGTTAGACTTTCCTCAAGCTGAAACTAATTTAAAAAAAAGTCTGATGGGTGCATGTCTCTTTTTAAAACTTTTGCTCATTTTAATTTGTTTTCTGCAGCATTCGACATAAGGAGTACAAAAAGAAAAGTCACATTTGTCACCTGAAAACTCCGTATATTTACGTCCTATTTTTATTCTTAGAAAACAAAACTATTCAGCTACTCCTATAAGCCCAAAGTGGAGCAGGCTGCAGTGATGTTAAATGATGCTGGCACCTATTGTTTGCGCCCTGAATCTCAGAAAATGATCCCACCACTGCGTGGACCGGTTGTCTTTTTTGGGGTGGAGGGGGGAATTAACCCAAATCGATTAGGAGTGGAGGTAGTGATGAAACCACAGGTATTCCTCTAGCTGGGAGCCCCCCGCCCCCCTGTCTCTCTCTGTAAACAGAGATTATGCTTCAAACCGAACATTATCTTTATAACATGTTTGCCAATAGGAGCGATTTATGGCCCCGTAAATGGTCGATGCTTGTTGCGCTCTGTGCTGGGATGTAAAGTTCCCGTTTCTGTTCTGGGGGACTTTGTCTGGTCTCTATTAATAAAGAAGAAGGCTGCGGAGCGTCTAGACAGCGTTAATGTTGAGCCAGCTGCAGCAGACAAATTATACACAAGGTTATGCATTATGCAAAGGAGTGGGGACTACATTAAATACATTAAAGCAGTGCAGATTGTCTCCCCAGAGGACAGTATAGATCGCTGACAATGACCATATTAGGCAGGCTTCACAGAGAAAAAAAAAAGGAGCAGAATCGATCAGATCACGGGTTGTCTGCCATTGCGCGCCTTGACGAGGCAGCCACAACAAGGATAAACAGCGCTCAATATTCCTCTCTGACACACAACAAGCACAGAGAATAAATAAATAAATAAATAAACGGTCCAATCTCAGAGACTGGCCGTGGCGTGCTTTTTTTTTTTTTTTTATTCTCAAGAAGTCCACCTGAGACCCGGAGAGCGAGCCGGATCAACGCGCAGGTGGCGGAATGAAAGGGGGGCAGGTACGGTCTCTGCCGCTGCGAGGAGATAAAGAGGGAAGGAGTGAAAAGGGGAAGAGAAAGATCAGACACATTCGATAACAAATCAACTTGCCATCGCTTCTGTTACCAGTCCTCCCACCCTATACCCCCCCTCACAGCGATTATTGATAACCAATCAAACATCCAGTTGGCTGCCAATCAATTAACAGCCTGACAGAGAAGGAGCTGCGTGGGGGTTTTGGGTTCGTTTTGTGAATAAAGACCGGTGTCTCCAGTCCTCACCGTGATGTCACCTCAGCTAAATGAGCCAGGCTGGTGCGCCTGTAGACGCGGGGACTGGAAAAAGAGCGCATCTGTCTGGAAATTGCGTAATTTTGACTAAAATTAAAACGAGCGGAGCGTGATATTTTTTTCGCCCCCCACTCCCAAGCAAAGTGACGCGCGGCGCGGCGTCATGTGCTGTCTGGCTCCCGGTGAAGCAGCCAGACCTCACGTCCTCCGACTGCGATCTCCAGAATACTAACTAGACAACACAGAGAGAGGCAGAGGGGCTGGGGGCGGGTGGGTGGAGGGGTTGGGGGGGGCGCACGTCAACCTTAACATCTCCACAACAGGCTTCATGCAAACTTCCACACCTTGCAGCGCGATCCGGTACACACTTGTTCCCAGCCAGAACTCTCCAACTTGGCTGAGCCCAAGTGGCGTCCGCTGGCAACTTCAGCGGCAAGGTTGAGCGAGGACAGGCGCAGCGAGCGGAGAGCGGCGCTGCATTTAAAAAAAAAAAAAAAAAAACACGCATAAAAACAGCCCATATGGTGAATGAAAGTACGCGGAACACACAGAGGGACGCGCATGCAGAGAAGCGGGTCTGGCACTTGTCGCAGCTGCGTTTAGCCCGGGTCGGTACTCACCTAAGTTGCACGTTTTGACTCCGTGAAGTGCACGGGGGTTGGGGCTACAGCATAGTAAGGCAGTTCGCAGTACCCGCTCTCTCAACACGCACTAACTCCTTTCTTCTCTCGCCTCAGCAAATCAACACGGTGCTGACGTCAACGCAGCCAGTCAGCCAGACGAGCAGCAGCAGCAGGCAGGCGGGCAGGCGGGCGGGCAGCCGGGGCCGGGCGCTGCATGCGCTCCGCTCCGTCCAAACGCTGAGAAAGTGAGACACCTAGGGGGCTGTCTCATGTCGAGCCGCTGCTGCCTTACAGTGTTGGGAACGAAAGGTGACCGACACTGCCCTCTCTCCAGCTGTTTGATCACAAGTACAGTAGCCCACAGCCGTACTGTATGCAGCCAGGGGCGCAGCCAGGGCGACTGCGGCTCTGTGGGAGAAAACCTGAAAATGGGGGGGAGGGGGACGTGAAAGAAACGTAGCTATAGTAAATAATCATAGTAATAAGTATTTGATGAAAACTCCTCTTGATGAAAAGTTCTCTTTTGAATTAATGCCTAAAGACACTAAGATCAAACAAAGTGAAAAATCAAAAGCACTCAAATTTTGTGATCAATAAACAAATGTGACAGCAAGTGAAGTTTCAAAATTAAAAAGTAGTACAATACAATGATATGAATAATAATAAATGATAAAAGGCAACCTTTCTCAAAAGGCTTTGGACAAAAACAGAATTTTATTTAAGTGTCCAGTTGATAATTATGAAAAAAGGAAATAGAAAATATATTTGTAGTTCTGTGCTTCAGTGGTTTGTAGTTCCTATACATCCCAATGGCTAAACAATCCATCCATCCATCCATCCATCCATCCATCATGCACTGTAATCCAGAATCTGCTACTTCAAAGAAATCAGGGACCATAAGTTTTCTTTATTAAATGCTGCATTTATATATATATATATATATATATATATATATATATATATATATATATATTTTTTTTTTTTTTTTTTTTTTATATTTTTTTTTATAAAATTTTTTGG